ATAACCAATAGAGAGAGAAGATTCTACTTTCCAAGATTTATTATAAGATACCAGGTATCAAAATATCTAACCTCAATTGCATTGTTTGCCTTTGTAATGATAGGCTTGACAGCTAATGGAAGTTTTTATTTTATTTATAACTTAGTTAGAAAGCCAGTTAAGTTATAATAGTTTTAGGACATTGTTTTTTCTGTTAGATATGTTGTATTCTAAATTGCTTATGTGAAATAAAAGTCAATAATATTTTGGATCACCAACATCTTGACAAAAAAGTAGGCCTATAGTGCTTCAGCAGTCAATGACAGAAAGTCCATGTAAGTGCTAAATTTCTTGTTTTATAATATACTTGTTTGTTGTTATAAAAGTAACTAAAACGTTAAAACTAAGAAATTTGTTATATTAAAGAATAGAATTAAAAAAGAAGAAATAAAATAATTTTCATGATATTCTATTATTTCACATGAACTTTGCAAGGCATGATTGTATCTTAACTGTGGTGTACTTGTAACTTGATTATTTGTTTACCCAATGTTGTCTGGCTTTTGGCATACTCTGAGACTATGTAAGTGCAGCTGTAATATAATAAAACTAAGTAAACTAAGATTTAAAAAGTCCATTATTCTTTGGACGTATGAATAAATAGTGTGCAATTGTCTGTTTCAACATGCAGTTAACCCTTCTTTTGCACATATTAAGTATTTATGCTATAACGTTTAATGCAATATTTGTATCTTCATAACATTTGGTAGCTTTTTAGTAAAGATTACAAGTCTTCTGTATACAAAAAACCAGAATTTTTAATGAAGTATCTTTACTAAAAATTTGTTTGTGAAAATATTGAGTCTGTTTTGTTAGTAGTCCGAGTGCAAAGTGATTTACATGTTATGATGAAAAACTATCCTTCATCCCCAAAATCTCAAATATTATTTGTGTAATCTCTACAATCTCCTAAATGCATTTCAGATGTTTGTTTTCAGTAAAACTTTATATTTTGTCTGTTATTTTCTCTACCCTAACTATACGGGGTCTATCAATTTTACCGACCTCATAACCACCATAAAATCTTAGGAAATAAATACAAATTATGCTTTTTTGTTCTAGAGTGACTACAAATTATAACATGAAACAAAAATGTTTAGTCTAAATAGCTTAAATCTCATAACATTATACATTTATATGTATATTATTTTTATTATATTGACCTTCCAGTCATGCCTGGCTAACATTACAGAAGTTGCAATGAC